AGCTGACCTAGATTTTGATGATGTGACCTACTTTCTTGTGCTTTGATCTACAGCTATGAAATTTGAACCATGTGCACAGATTAAGATGTAAAGTGAACTTTGATATCAAGCTGACCTGGATTTTGACAAAGTGTCTTACTGTGTTATCCTTTGATGTAGTCATGAAATTTAGGCTGTGTGAAATATGACCTTCACCCACCAAATCATTAGACTCAAGTGCATTGATATATTCCTACTCTGATCTTTTATTGGATTAACAATAGATTTAACCACTAATCTGATAATAAGAAAATTAGATAGGTCAGGGATCTATGCATTATGACAATCTTCAATTGTATAGAAACAAAAAAAATCTGTTCCTACACTACTATTAGTGTTGTGTTAATGCGGTGGCATAGCATTTTTCTCAAATGCAATCTTGTTTTAAAATTATTTCATTGTAAAAAGAAAACTTGCATGATTTAAAGAGCAAAATAATTCTATATAAATATTAATTACATCATTTCCCTTGTTTTATCTGAGCATACATGTATTTTTGTATGTATAATAAATGCCGCTGAAAAAGGCTGTAAGGTAGAAAGCTACGGCAAATTCAAATTAGCATTTCTTTTATTAAATATTGATTAATATAATTAAATTCTTTAGATATTTACCTGGGGTGCGGCCCTCTGGACGGATGCCATTGCCTCTTGAAAATTTCAGTATCTGATCAAACCCTTCTATTGACAGATATATAGCAAGGATTCTGTTCTGATTTTTTTTCTGAGCCCAGTTTGATCTGTACATCATCCATAGGAAATTTGTCTTGATCCAGGTCATACGTGTAAAACTGTATCTCATCCCTGAAACAATAATCACTTTTATTTTTATTATTATTATACCCTGCACAACGAAGTTGTAAGGGAGGTATACTGGAATCAGCTTGTCTGGCCAACAGCCGTCCAGACATCTCCCCGTCCAGCCGTCTGTCGGTTTTTCCTTGTCCGCCCAATAACTTAAGATTCCTTTGACCCACAGTAAGATTCCTTTGACCCGCAGTCTTCATATTTGGCATGGAGGTTAGTCATGACTAGTAGATGACCCCTATTGATTTTGAGGTCACTGGGTCAAAGGTCAAGGTCACAGGGGCCTTGACTAAAAAAAGCTTGTCTGCCCAATAACTTAAGATTCCTTTGACCCACAGTCTTCATATTTGGCATGGAGGTTAGTCATGATTAGTAGATGACCCCTAATGATTTAAAGGTCACTGGATCAAAGGTCAAGATCACATTGGTCTTGACTAAAAAAAAGCTTGTCCGCCCAATAACTTAGGATTCCTTTGACCCACAGTCTTCATATTTGGCATGGAGGTTAGTCATGATTAGGTAATGACCTCTATTGATTTTGAGGTCACTGGGTCAAAGATCAAGGTCACTTGGACTTTGACTTCAAAGAGTTTGTCGCCCAATTACATAAGAAACCTTTGACCCTCAGTCTTCATATTTGGCATGGAGGTTGATCATGACCATTTGATGACCCCTATTCATTTTGAGGTCAAAGGTCAAGGTCACAGGGACCTTGACTCAAAAAAGCTTTTCACCTCAATTGCTTAAGAATGCTTTGGTCAACAGTCTTCATATTTTGTATTGAGGTTGTTTATGACTAGTAGATTGCCACTATTGATTTTAGTTGACTGTGTCAAAGGTCATGGTCACAGGGATTTTCACTATAATAAGTTTGTCTGCTCAAATGTTACAGAATGCCTGTCCGCAGTGTATTGATTTTTGACATTTTCACATTTGAAGCATGTAGAATACATTAGCATGTAGAATACATAACATAGCAATGCACTGGCTTAGTAACCTCAGATTTGACAGGGAGGTTGTCCTGGAGCTGTAAATGGCCACTGTTGATTCTGACAAAGTAGTATGCGGGGGTATTTGCGCCATGACAGTGGCAGTTCTAGTTATTATTATTAGCTCACCTGTCACAAAGTGACAGGGTGAGCTTTTGTGATTGCTTTTCGTCCGGCCGTCGTCCGTAAACTTTTACTTTAAATGACATCTCCTCATAAACCACTAAGCCAATTTCATCCAAACTTCACAGGAATGTTTCTTTGGTGGTCACTTTTGAAAATTGTTCAAAGAATTTAATTCCATGCAGAACTCTGGTTGCCATGGCAACCAAAAGAAAAAACTTAAAATATCTTCTTCTAAAAAACCCAAAGAGCTAAATTTTTGGCATGAAACATATTCTGGTGAGTGTCTACCAAGTTTGTTCAAATAAAAGCCCTGGGGTCAAAATTGGCCCCGCCCCAGGGGGTCATTGATTTTCCCTATATACATATATATATAGTAAAAACTTTAAAAAATCTTCTTTTAAAGAACCAAAAGAGCTAGAGCTAAGATATTTAGCATAAAACATCTTCTAATGGATGTCTACCAAGTTTGTTCAAATAAAAGCCCTGGGGTCAAAATTTGCCCGGCCCTGGGGGTCATTGATTTTCCAAATTTCCTTATATGTGTATAGGAAAAACTTAAAAAATCTTCTTTGGAAAAAATCAAATAGCTAGAGTTTAGATATTAAGCATGAAACATCTTCTAGTAATTGTCTACAAAGTTTGTTCAAATAAAAGCCCTGGGGTCAAAATTGGCCCCACCCCGGAGGTCATTCATTTTCCCTGTATGTGTAAAACTATAGCAAAAATTGAAAAATCTTCTTTGAAAAAACTCAAATAACTAGAGTTTAGATATTAAGCACGAAGCATCTTCTAGTGAGTGTCTTCAAAATTTGTGCAAATAAAAGCCCTGGAGTCAAAATTGGCTCCGCCCCGGGGACATTGATTTTCCTTATACGAGTATAGCAAAAACTTACAAATCTTCTTTGAAAAAACCCGAATAGGTAGAGTTTAGATATTAAGCCTGAAACATTTTCTAGTAAGTGTCTACAAAGATTGTTCAAATAAAAGCCCTGGGGTCAAAACTGGCCCTGCCCCAGGTGTGTCATTGTTTTTACCTATATGTGTAAAGAAAAAACTTTGAAAAATCTTCTTTTAAAAATCCCAACTAGCTAGCCCTTAGATGTTTAGCATGAAACATCTTCTTATGGTTGTCTACAAAGTTTGTTCAAATAAAAGCCCCGGGCTTTAAACTGGCCCCGCTCCGGGGGCCTATGTACAGGTGAGCGACTTCAGGGCCATCATGGCCCTCTTGTTATTATTATAGTGTAAAATAAACTTGGAAGGGCATTTTCTGAACTTAATTTGGGATTTGTAACCATGATCTGAATTGTTACAGTATCACAGACATAAATACATTTGTCACTTTGATTTAATGAAAAGCTTTTATTAAGATAAGATTTGCCTATTTGTAAAACATAGAAATTTGATATATATATAGATTATAATTATATTCTTATAAATAAATTAGAATTAAGCACAAAAGTAATTTTTAAATCTGAAAGTATTGAAAATTTTACTAAAATAATCTTTCATCATCTTAAAATAGTATTTGTAGAAGCATTGCAGAAATAACTTAAGAAAAAAATACAATTTTCATATAATTAAGATATGAATATTTTATGTTGTATTATTAATCACTTCTGAAAAAAAAACAGTGATTACAGCTAGTTTTAAAAAATTATTATTACCAATACACAAGGTACTGTGTATCTTTAAATGAAGATAAAATATATTTTTTACAGAATGATCTGAAACATTTTTAAAATAAACATTTTAAAGGTACCTCCAAACTTTCCATGTTTCACTGCATAATCAGCAATATCTGGACAAAATGCTTGATACACAACAATATAATCCTTGTCATACTGAGCTAGAATATGTTTCCCTATTGATGGCCAGTGTGAAGCACACTGTTCCTTGTAATTCTCCCATTTTAACCTAAATGTTTTACCTTCAGCCATTATTGTAAACTTGAACTACTTATTTTACAGTGTTTATTTTATATATATACTCCATGTACAAAAATCAACTGATAATATACATACATGTCTATTTATAGATATTGGGTAATACGGAAGTGTTGCGAAATACCCAATATCCTATTATTGTGCAATAGTGTGTTTAAACTTGTTTAAATCTATTTATATATCAGTATTTCTATTTGGTATATTTAATATTATTGATTTATGGTCACACACACTTCTTTTAATATTAAAGAAATAGTTAAATAATATCAGCAGATAAAATACATGTACATCAGCAGTAAATAAAACTGTTTTGTTTACATAAAATATTAAGTATACAGAAATCAGCCTCAGAAATCTACCTGAAATTATAAAGTTAAACGTTTATGTCCTAGGATTTGAAGAATAGGGGGGAATTTTTTGTATAGAAAAGTGGGAATTTATTACATTTGTTGATGTTTTTCCTTCTTTCTCTATGTGAAATTTTCCTCCTGCCTCTGAAAAAAAAGGGGAATTCTCAAAAATATGAGTGAATCCCCCCCATCCCCCCTCCTAGAATAGACACTGAATTAGGCTTTATCCATTATTTATATTTAAATCTATTAGTATGATTTAAGTTAATAGAACATATTAAATGATCAAACTGAGGTTGTATACAACAATTTTCAAACATTGAAGAATATGTAAAATATGTACTGCAAATATTTGTACATATCAAAATTTAATGTAATCATTAAATTATATGCATAATGCCATTCATTTCTTATTGAAACATTTGACTTAGATTTTATAGAAAATAATTTTTTTATTACCTCCCTTTATTTACATGAAATATTAAATTGTTATTCAGTAATATCTTTATAAATAATGCTTTTTGGAACTTACAAAATTGATAAATCTTAATTTGAGCATCATATTTATGATTTAAAACCATAAAAAAATGTGTTAAAAGCGTAATGACTTTATTTGCTTGGAGAATTTCTGAGAATTACAGAAGCTGTGAGAACAGATTTATTCATGTATAATAAAATATGCAAAATCTATACATAGAGGGGGAGGATCAAAATATAAATAAAAATTCAATTTATATTTTACAGAGAAAACTCTTATTCCGGTTGTCATGGAAACAAGAAGCAGGAAACAACATGGTGGGTGGGAAAAGTCTGTTTTCGTAACAGTTGGAACAACAAGATTTGATAAACTGATTGAAACAGTTTGCTGCGCGAGTACATTAAAGGTACATGTAGTCATTTATGTATGATAATAGTAGAATCGTTACAGATAGTCATTTTATGGGTATTTAAAGTACAATCATGTTATTTGTTTACAAATGGTTATGTAACAGTTTTGGTTATCTGTGAATGAACTATGATGATTTTAGACGTGTTTATATCTACAAAAAAAAGAAAGGACCCTAGCAAAAAATACAATTTCCAAACTTTATTGTATATCTGAGTATGTATCTTAATTACCTTTTTCATATTTTTTTCTGTTTGAAGCGCCCAAGCTGATCTATGTAAGAAAGTCAATTTTTATGTATTTAGGCTTTTTGACCTCAGTGGAGTTCCTGTCATGCCAGTGTTTTATTGAATCTCTCCAAAATTTATCTGTTATTTCTATTTCTAACAGGGTTACATGTTCATGTGAAATCATTTTTACCTATAAAGAAAATTATCAAGTTGTAGAACATGGTATTTGTTTATCTAAGTGGTAAGAAATTTTGTATCATTATTATTCTTTCTCTCTGGTTTCAGTGTCTACAGATGTTGGGTTATAAGAAAGTGCTGTTGCAGGTTGGAGCTGGTGAGGTTGAACCAACAGAGTCCACAGTTCAGGGTATCACTGTTGATTCCTATAGGTTCAAGCCTTCAATAAAGGAAGATATTGACTCAGCTGACCTTGTTATTAGTCATGCAGGTATATTTGAGCAGCATCACGACAAAACCAACATAATGGGTTTGCGACCAGCATGGATCCAGACCAGCCTGAGCATCCGCGCAGTCTGATCATGATCCATGCTGTTCGCTTACAAACCCTATAACAAGAAGAGAAACTGATAGCGAACAGCATGGATCCTGATCAGACTGCGCAGGCTGGTCTGGATCCATGCTGGTCGCAAACACATTATGTTGGTTTTGTCATGACGCGCTCATTTATAGATCATTCCTTGAAATGTGTATTTTACAATACAAAAAGGTTAAAATTTTCACAGTAATTTTATAATATAGAGGATATTGAATGTGTGTAAGTTCAATACTGAATTTATTGAAGTAGAATAAAATATTATAATATTTTATTTATCAAATAATATTTATAACAATTATTTAGCATGGTAGAGTTAACAGAAGTACCATTATTAAGGTGTACTGTCTTGAAATTTAGATTTAAAGAAATCACATTGCGACATTGTATGAAAATATATGTACAAGATTAACAACAGTGTATTTATATAACAGGGGCAGGTAGCTGCCTTGAGACACTTGGTGCTGGTAAGAAACTTCTAGTGGTGATAAATGACGAGTTGATGGGTAACCACCAATTAGAGCTGGCTTATCAGTTACATCAAGATCAACACCTGTATTACTGTAATTGCAAGTAAGTTCCGATTTATTTCTTAAAATTCAAAGGAGACAGATTCATTGCATTTGAAATGTGAAAAATATTTAGCTTTACGGTAGTCTTACTGTAATGATTTCCCACCCAAAGGATTTCTAACATTGGCCAATACCCTAATAAATCAGTCATTTCCTGAACGTTATTTTTCAAAATTTTCGGTATTCAATAACTTTTAACCATTTATAACCAGAATTTAGTACATAGTGATCAAGGATGAGTGATTATAAATAACCTAATGCCCAAGATTTTGAAAAAAAATGTTCTGGAAATAACCTTTATGCTACGATATTGGCAGATGTTCGAATTTTTTGACGGGGTGGGGGAGGGGACACAAAAATTGGTTTCCAGTAATAACTAAAGTTAGGAATTAGACTCAAATTAGTAATCAAATTTAGTATATAGCAAGCTTATGAGGAGACATCTCTTCGATATTGTGTTTGGGCCTCCTAGGGTCAAGGTCACTGTTACCTGGGAAACCTGGGAAGGTAAAATTCATCCCAGCTGTTACTAAAAATAGAAAAACTGCGTTTTGGTTTATATGAGGTAAGGCATTGGATTGTAATAATGTTTTGTACACAGGTATGACATCATAAAATACAAACCACTAATGTTTCACTAAAGGTGGCTGATGGTGGTATGGATAGTACGGAGCCCCTAAGGTGACATTTTCCACACTTTTTTCCCCGGAATTTAATTCGTTTTTACGAAATAATAATTCGTAATTACGAAATAATAATTCGTTTTTACGAAATATTAATTCGTAAATACGAAATATTAATTCGTTTTTACGAAATATTAATTCGTTTTTACGAAATATTAATTCGTAATTACGAAATATCATTTCGTTTTTACGAAATATTAATTCGTTTTTACGAAATATTAATTCGTTTTTACGAAATATTAATTCGTAATTACGAAATATTATTTCGTAATTACGAAATATTAATTCGTTATTACGAAATATTAATTCGTTTTTACGAAATATTATTTCGTAATTACGAAATATTATTTCGTTATTACGAAATATTAATTCGTAAAAACGAAATATTATTTCGTAATTACGAAATAATAATTCGTAAATACGAAATAGTATTTCGTAAAAACGAATTAAATTTTTTCTGGCGTTTCAAAGAGTTTTGGTAATATTTATAAATAAGGCCTCAAAACTAAGTTCCTGACTTAATATAAGGCATGTACATGCAATATAAATAGTGATTTTTGTTCTCCCCAAGTTTTTTAACTTTACACTATTGTACATAAATTAAAATATTCGCATGTCAATAGCGTTGAGCCACAGCCGTAATAGACACGCGCTAGGAAAATTTACTTAAAATGGGGGTCCTGTGCTTCAAATCCAAACACGGACATTTCTAATACTAAATTGTGAGGAAATATTCATTTTAAATTGATTAGATTAGTGAAATCTGGACCAACCCCCTCCTCGTCCCATTAGTTTTACTTATGTATATGATAAAAGAACGGAATAATATAGCATGTTTCTGTTTTAAAGATACATGTCGTAAAATATTGCCTCAAACATTAAAACATTGCTGATAGGAACATGTATTTGACAATGGGGAAAAAAGACCATTTTGGATAGAGAATGACTTCTCACTCAAAAACCCTGTTCACTTAAATATAATAACTTGAGAACCATTCGGCTTATAATCGCAAAGTTGATCAAGGCATGTAAATGACCCATTTGTGAGATTAATAGGTTCATTATCAAGCTCAAAATGACCTTAAATAAGATTTCGTAAAAACGAATTAATATTTCGTAATTACGAAATAACATTTCGTTTTTACGAATTAATATTTCGTAATAACGAAATAATATTTCGTAATTACGAAATAATATTTCGTAAAAACGAATTAATATTTCGTAAATACGAATTAATATTTCGTAAAAACGAATTGATATTTCGTAATTACGAAATAACATTTCGTTTTTACGAATTAATATTTCGTAATTACGAAATAATATTTCGTAAAAACGAATTAATATTTCGTAAAAACGAATTGATATTTCGTAATTACGAATTAATATTTCGTAAAAACGAATTAAATGCCGGGGTAAAAGTGTCGAGAATGTCACCTTAGGGGCTCCGTAGGATAGCTCTAGTTTGACCAAGTATAAAATTTAGGCTATACATACTATACATGTATGTATGTTGGTATGAAAACACTTGCATAAATTTCCATTTTCCATTCTTAATTTCAGAAATCTTGTGGAAACATTAGAAACTTCAGATTTTGAAAAGTTGGTGCCGTTCCAGCCAGGGAAACCAGAAATCTTTGCACAATTTCTTGATAAAATGATGGGATTTTCATCACCATGACAGTATCTAAACTGAGCTCAGACATGCAATAATTTATGTGTTCATCACCAGTAAAAGTTGGATATCTGTCCATTTATTAAGTATGTTTAAGTAAGCTGATAAGATGATTGATAGATTAAGCGAGGCTGAAAGAAGTTTGGTGAATCGTGATCATTTGTTACAAAACTTCTCCTCACACAGATCACTGATGCAGCGACCAGCGGCGAAGTTCTTCATATTGTAAAGATGCTACAGAGTAGACCAAGTTGTTTAAGTAATTGTTAAAATGGGTGATATTATTTTACCAAATGGTGAAAATCACTAATTAATGTGATATCTGCTCATTTTTATGCCACCGCAGCATCTGCGATGCGGTGGCATATAGCGATTCACCTGTGTGTGTGTTTGTTTGTGTGTGTGTGTGTTATATAGATTATATAGTGAACTTAAAAAATCTTCTTGTGAAAAACCACTAGTCCAATTTCAACCAAACTTGGCAGGATTGATCCTTGGGTGAAGGCCTTCCAAAGTTGTTCAAAGAATTTCATTCCATGCAGAATTCTGGTTGCCATGACAACCAAAAGGAATTATAAGAATAAATTTAAAAAATCTTCTTGTAAAGACCCAAAAGGCCTAGAGCTTAGATATTTTGCATAAGGCATTGTCGGGTAGACCTCTACCAAGATTGTTCAAATTATAGCCCTGGGGTCCAAATCGGCCCCGCCCCGGGGGTCATTGATTTTCACTATATGTACATATAGTAAAAACTTAAAATACCTTCTTGTTTGAAGGTACAAGGCTTAGAGGTTTGATATTTGGTATGTGTTATTATCTAAAGGTACTCTACCAAAGTTGTTCAAAGTTTGCCTCTAGTGTCAAAGTCAGCCCCACCCAGGGGGTCATAGGTTTTTCATATATGTATATAGTAAAAACTTCAAAAAATCATCTTCTCTAAATTCACAAAGGCCAGAGGTTAGATACTTTGCATGAAACATGGTGTAGTGAACCTTTAGCAAGATTGTACTAATTATAGCCCTGGGGTCAAAATTGGCCCCACCCCTGGGGGTCACTGATTTTCAATATGTACATATAGTAAAAAATCAAAAAAATCGTATTGTCTGAAGGTACACGGCTTAGAGGTTTGATATTTGGTATGTGTTATTATCTAAAGGTACTATACCAAAGTTGTTCAAATTTTGCCTCTAGTGTCAAAATTAGCCCTGCCCCGGGGGTCATAGGTTTTCCTCATATGTATATAGTATAATCTTAAAAAATCATCTTCTCTAAATTGACAAAGGCTAGAGGTTAGATATTCTGCATGAAACATTGTGTAGTGAACCTCTAGCAAGATTGAACAAATTATAGCCCTGGGGTCAAAATTGGCCCCACCCCTGGGGGTCACTGATTTTCAATATGTACATATAGTAAAAAATCTAAAAAATCGTATTGTCTGAAGGTACACGGCTTAGAGGTTTGATATTTGGTATGTGTTATTATCTAAAGGTACTTTACCAAAGTTGTTCAAATTTTGCCTCTAGTGTCAAAATTAGCCCTGCCCCGGGGGTCATAGGTTTTTCTTACATGTATATAGTAAAAACTTTAAAAAATCATCTTCTCGAATTGACAAAGGCTAGAGGTGAGACATTTTGCAGTAAACATTGTGTAGTGAACCTTTAGCAAGATTATTCAAATTAAAGCCCTGGGGTCAAAATTGGCCCCGCCCCTGGGGATCATTGATTTTCAGTCACAATGTCATAAAGTAAAAAATTAAAAATCTTATTGTCTGAAGGTACTAATCTTATAATAACAGATAGGTAAGTGATCTATGCATTATGGCAATCTGTGTAGAAACAAAAAAAATGTGTTCCTACATTACTATTTAGTGTTGTATTTATGCGGTTGCATGGCATTTTTTACAAATGCAATCTTGTTTCTTCAGCCATCTATGAAAACTATTATTAACCTTTTCCCTTATATAAGCGTGTTTCGACGGCTTTTTGCCCCCCCCCCCCTTTTTGAGGCCTCAAACAGTGAAAAAATGTCCTATTTAGACCCCAAACACTGTTTTTCGTTTGAGAAATGTTGTTTAAAAAAGTGACCATTTTTTCGGCGCCGTCCCCCATCCAAATAATACATCAGGGGGTTGCCAGAAGGGGGATGTGCCCCCTTCTGTTTGGGGGGTTTGAAGGGGGGCGAAGTCCCCCTCATCGCCAAGAAAATTTTGGACTTGTGAGAGGCTTAAAATGACCCCAGGTTGATCATAAGGTAACGTGTAACCAACGCTGAAAAGCCTTTGACTCTATCTCAATCCCTTGAGAAGTTGCAGCACTTTGAAGTAAATTTTGATGGAAAAAATCGAGGCAAAAATGTGATTTTTGGCAATTTTGAGATGTCCCCTCGTTGCCATGGTAACATGAAATTTAAGACTGAGCATGTCGTTACAAAGGCAATGGTCTAGTCAACAGTTGTGCCAAGTTTGATTAGTATTGAAGCATTTTTCATAGTTTCATAGCAGTTTGAACTTGTAAGAGGAGGCTTTTCAGTGAAAATGGCAATTTTTCACAATATGCTCATGGGGGAAAGGGTTAACTAAAAAAATTATAAATGTTACAAAACAACAATTTTTCACCAAAATTAGGTAAAAGACCACATGTTAACATGGAAAAACTAGATTTTGAGTGATTCCAAGGTTTTTCATCATTTTTTTGTTAACCTTTTCCCTTATATAAGCGTGTTTCGACGGCTTTTTGCCCCCCCCCCCCTTTTTGAGGCCTCAAACAGTGAAAAAATGTCCTATTTAGACCCCAAACACTGTTTTTCGTTTGAGAAATGTTGTTAAAAAAAGTGACCATTTTTTCGGCGCCGTCCCCCATCCAAATAATACATCAGGGGGTTGCCAGAAGGGGGATGTGCCCCCTTCTGTTTGGGGGGTTTGAAGGGGGCGGAGGCCCCCATCATCGCCAAGAAAATTTTGGACTTGTGAGAGGCTTAAAATGACCCCAGGTTGATCATAAGGTAACGTGTAACCAACGCTGAAAAGCCTTTGACTCTATCTCAATCCCTTGAGAAGTTGCAGCACTTTGAAGTAAATTTTGATGGAAAAAATCGAGGCAAAAATGTGATTTTTGGCAATTTTGAGATGTCCCCTCGTTGCCATGGTAACAGGAAATTTAAGACTGAGCATGTCGTTACAAAGGCAATGGTCCAGTCAACATGTGTGCCAAGTTTGATTAGTATTGAAGCATTTTTCATAGTTTCATAGCAGTTTGAACTTGTAAGAGGAGGCTTTTCAGTGAAAATTGCCATTTTTCACAATATGCTCATGGGGGAAAAGGTTAACTAAAAAAATTATAAATGTTACAAAACAACAATTTTTCACCAAAATTAGGTAAAAGACCACATGTTAACATGGAAAAACTAGATTTTGAGTGATTCCAAGGTTTTTCATCATTTTTTGTTAACCTTTTCCCTTATATAAGCGTGTTTCGACGGCTTTTTGCCCCCCCCCCCCTTTTTGAGGCCTCAAACAGTGAAAAAATGTCCTATTTAGACCCCAAACACTGTTTTTCGTTTGAGAAATGTTGTTTAAAAAAGTGACCATTTTTTCGGCGCCGTCCCCCATCCAAATAATACATCAGGGGGTTGCCAGAAGGGGGATGTGCCCCCTTCTGTTTGGGGGGTTTGAAGGGGGGCGAAGTCCCCCTCATCGCCAAGAAAATTTTGGACTTGTGAGAGGCTTAAAATGACCCCAGGTTGATCATAAGGTAACGTGTAACCAACGCTGAAAAGCCTTTGACTCTATCTCAATCCCTTGAGAAGTTGCAGCACTTTGAAGTAAATTTTGATGGAAAAAATCGAGGCAAAAATGTGATTTTTGGCAATTTTGAGATGTCCCCTCGTTGCCATGGTAACAGGAAATTTAAGACTGAGCATGTCGTTACAAAGGCAATGGTCCAGTCAACATGTGTGCCAAGTTTGATTAGTATTGAAGCATTTTTCATAGTTTCATAGCAGTTTGAACTTGTAAGAGGAGGCTTTTCAGTGAAAATTGCCATTTTTCACAATATGCTCATGGGGGAAAAGGTTAAGCAATTGTATAAAATAAATAATTAAATTATGAGGGAACAATTTTATTTCCAAATCCTTTTTTTCACATTCCATTGTTATTCAACATTAAAAAACACAGATTTGTGTACCATTATTATTACATAATTCAATAATTATAACACAGTTTTACTTATAATGTTAAATTAGTGTTTAAAATCATTTGTTGACCAATGGAAATCACTACAATGTACAAAAATTGCCCTTCTTAATCCTGTAGACAAGAAAATTTGTCACTTAATTTTGAAGTCTGGCACTAAGACTTTTGTGTGCATATGTAAACAGAGTGTAGAAGCCCGTTCTTGTTTTGTAGTCTTTGTTGAGATATTCTTCCCGTTGTGGGTTCTGGTGTGTCCAAAACATGCAATACATATAAAGAAAATGTCACTTAATGAACTAAAAAAAAACAGTTTCTAACTTCATTGTTTTTAATGCATTGTTTCTGGAGAATTTGGCATCACATCATCACTGTTTATAGCCTTAGCTAAGTTTGAGTCGGGAGCAGGCACTGTGTTTTCAAAGTCTGATGGTTATGTTCTTTCTGTACAATTCTTCATTGAGTCTTAGAGCGTTTTTTTTATATTGCATAAGACTTATTAATTTTCCTTTTTCTCAATGTTTTTTATACCGATGCTACGCTTTGCAGCGATTATATGGTAACATGTACCTGTTGTCGGACAGTGACACTTCTTTTGGAAAAAGTGAAACAGTATATTTCTTATCCCTTAATCCACAAGTCACAGATGTGTTCATTTCTGCGGCACAATCTCCTCGCCCCGTCTGCTGAAATAACTTTATTTGCTAAATCTTCTTATGTTTTTTTTTAATTTCATTTGTTTCTTTGTTGCGCTGTGTTTTTTTTCTCCATGGCCCGCGATCAGCAACAAACCCAATGTCTGTCTTTTTAAGATGTGTGCATTTTTCGAGAATGATTGAAATATAATGTTCATGAAACTTTTGGTCCTTTTTTCGTGAAGCATAAAGG